CTAAAGCACAGTATTTTTTCCAACTTCTGCACTAACTGCAATTTACTCAGCTTCAGAATGCAAAGGCAAATGTATTTCTCGAAAGCCAAGCCAATAAAGAGATTGTAACCTTGAATGACTCTTCGCAGTGGTAGTCACGTGTGTTTTGATTAACTGCAACACTAACACAGTATACAAACAAAGCAATTCTGCAGGTACTTGCAATTAACGGACTTTAAAACAGTGTTAGCTCTAACTCTCCCGTTGATTCCTACTACAGCTAGAGAGAGGCACCTTCGGTATACAAAGGCTCCTAAAACATTTAGTATCTAGATGTTATGCAGTCCTGCAATAGTGAATGATCTGCAAATTAAAACCAAAGACATGAATTCAGAAGTATTGAGGCCTCTGAATGACCTAGACCTCTGGGAGTCATTGGTAAAACAGGGATTTGTGATTGATACACACAAATAACCTCCCCTTAGTCAAACACGATCATTCCCCACCCCAGGCAAATCGCAGATGGAGCTATTGTCTAGGTGGCCGAGCTCTTAGTTGCTTAAGGCAGCTCTTTTTGAGAGTGCCCCCAGCAGCCTCCAGGAAGTAGATTCGAAGTTTACACACAGGAGGTGATAAAGCTACTCGGTGACTTTCACTGGAGGGACTTCAGGTTGGGAACTGTTTTTGTTTTTGTTGGGACTTTGATAGTAGGTGCAAAATGATGACAAAGAATGTTTTTCTTAGATATTTACATACTTTTTTTTGGTTAAAGATGTGCTAACTTGTTTTCCCCGAGGAAATGAGAAGTCACCATTAAAAAACCTTTCGTTTTGACAAGCAGAAGTTCTCAGGGGGCTCTGTTCTGGATGCCTCTGATCACTTGTAATCTTTAAAGTTTAGTAAACAATGTCATTCAATGTCCTTGACTGAATACTTTTTAACCCTTTGTGTTTTGGCCCAGAAGGAAGCATAGGTTTGGGGCGGGGGTGGTGAAGACGATGACATGAGACAGGAAGAGGTCCTTCAGGCTGGGGCCACGAGTGTGAGGAGCAGCTGCGTGTAGCCGGCTCTCTGCTAGGTGCCCTGCAGCCCTTAGCAGGGGGTTTTAGGGACAGTCTAGTTAGCGGTCTAGTGTGGGTGGGTTTTTTGTGTTGTGTTTTGTTTTTTTGAACCCTTAGGTGGATCTAACAGTTTGTGGCGATTCAGCCTGCTTTAAAATCTCTTTTATTGGTGAGTCTCTACAGAAAGCGCCTCTGATGTAGTCAAACTCCGAGTTAGTGAGTGAGCAGCCCTTAGCAGGGGGTTTTAGGGACAGTCTAGTTAGCGGTCTAGTGTGGGTGGGTTTTTTGTGTTGTGTTTTGTTTTTTTGAACCCTTAGGTGGATCTAACAGTTTGTGGCGATTCAGCCTGCTTTAAAATCTCTTTTATTGGTGAGTCTCTACAGAAAGCGCCTCTGATGTAGTCAAACTCCGAGTTAGTGAGTGAGTTTG